CGGCCGTGTCCCCTCGGGGCGGCCCCGGCGAAGTCACCCAAAGCGGGCTGGGGCGCTGCCACGCCTCGGGGACCGGGGGACCCTACGGGACCCCGCGTCGCGGTCCACGCGGCGGGGAGTGGGGAGTGGGGAGCGTGTAAATAGCCGTGAGCCCACGTGGCTTGCTCCACTCCAGCTGCTGCCTGCCGTTGTCCCCTGAGCCTGTCCCCGCTGTCCCCGTCCAAGCTCCTCGCCCCACGGGGTGGCTGCCCAAAGGGAGGCTGTGCCCCGTGGGCCGCATCCTGCCAAGGCCCGAGAGCCGGGGCAGCCCTGGTGTCACTGTGGGCTTTGCTGAGATCATAGACTCATAGAATCACTTAGGTTGGAAAAGACCTTTGAGATCATCGAGTCCAACTGTCATCCATGCCCACTAAACCATGATGTGAGATACAGAGCACCAGGCTGAGCCGGGGTCCCCTGGGCTGTGCCATGGCCGCTGCCCCTGGGTGGGGTGGGACAGGATAGGATGGGATGGGTGGGATGGGACAGGATGAATGGGATGGGACAGCGTGAGATGGGATGGGACAGCAGCAGATTATTAGCAGTGCTGAGTGTGGGCCCAGCATCACAGGTGTCGGTCCCCTGAGGGCACTAAAAGGCACCATGAAGACGCAGGCAGGCACACGGTCCTGCCTCCATGCCATGATCCTGTGGGAGCCAGGCAACTTCCCTCATCCTCTTTCCCCAGCTGTGGGGCCAAAGGCCCTGCTCGCTCCCCCATGGACAGCGATTGTCTGTGTCCCATGGCCCAGGGGCAAGAAAGGGGTAAGAAATCAGCCACCCTAATACCCTTAACTCTGCCTGCAGCCTGGGCATGGTGCCCAGCCCGGGGCGGGCAGCATGGCCCTGGGGTCGCAGCAGGGCCCCCAGCCCCTTCCCCCAGCCCCCGGAGCACCTCACTCCTCACGAAACGCAGCCGCGTGTGCAGAGCCTCCCAAATGGCTGCGTGCTGCGTGCTGGCATTTGCGGCCCATATGGTGCCGCTTCCGAGCTGCACCCCCTCTCGCCTCCCCTCCCACCCCTGCACCCGCCAAACCCAATTTCCCCAAAACCGCCCAGCCCACACCGGCCTGAGCTGCCATGGGGGTATGGCCAACCTCTCCTGGGATCCACAGCCCCCCGAGCCCGGGTTGGGCAGGCCCATGGACAGGGGACACCGGGGGCCCATCCCCAAAGCCAGCATCTCCCCTCTGTGCACAGGGAAACCGGCCAGCACCCCAAGGCGGAGACAGCCCAGGGCACCCCATGCGCCCGTCCCCTGCAGGGCACCGAGCCGTGTGAGCCCTGGGCCCACCGCCACCCGTGCCGGGTAATTAACGGCGCGTGAGAGCAGGGGAATTAGCAGGGCACTGTAGTTTGAGCTTCTAATCAAGAGTTTAATCATACCGGCTGGCAGCAGTGCGGCACCATTATTAATCTTTGCACCTCGCGGGAACCTGGAGCGTAACTCACAATTACCCGGCAGGCGCCTGGCGCGGCTCGGGGCTGCCCGGTGGCGGCTCATGGCAGAGGGGACAGGACGGCGTTCCTCCAGCACCCCTCGGCCCGGCTTGCACCCATCACCTCCTGGCACCAGTCTCCTGCCTGTGGCAGAACTGCCCCGGGGTCCCATCGCTGCCCCCTGCTCCCCTCCTGGCCCCGGCTCTGGTTCAGATCTTGGGCCACCCCGTGCCCCATTTTGAGGTGATGGGCTCTGCTGAACCCAACCGCGTTCACCCCTGCTATGCCCTGCCCTGCTGCCCTGCTCACCACTGCCCCGTGCACCCACCGCCCCGTGCACCCACCGCCCTTCCCACTGTCCCGCAGTGAGCCCAGAACCGGGTGCAGGGGGACGTGGCAGGTCTGGGGTGACATTTCCCGCAGGACCCCTGCAGTGAGTAAGCCCCGGCTGCCCGAGGAGGGGGTGCCAGGGCTGGGGGCACCTGGCCGTACCCCTCTGCCTTGGGTGGGGGGACACGGGATGGGGGACACCCGGCCGTACCCCTCTACCCCAGGCGGGG